GCAGGTGAGCAGCAGATGAGGAGCAGGTGGAGGGCAGGTGAGCAACAGGTAAGTGACAAGAAAGCACAAGTGAGCAGTAGGTGAGAAGCAGGGGAGGTGCCTGAGCAAAGCTAGTGAGGAGCTAAGCAGCTTTTGAGGCCTCCCTAACCCTAGAGGATGCCTCATAAACACGTGCAGGACTTCTCTTAGCTTATATTAGGTATACAAGGTTTTTCTCTCCCTTCTCTTCATTGTTATCTTCTTCCTTCTCCTCCTCTTCTTCCTGCTTCCTTTGTACCTCTCATCTTCTTTTCCTTCTCTGAATGAAGTGTCCTCTGCTCAGGCTGCGGATAAATGCCTGCCTGCTGAGCTTTGTACTGGAGCAGAAGCACACAGTGTTCTGTTGTTCTCTCACTTCCTCTCCCATCTTCAGCCAGTTGCTTCTCTCCATCCTGAGCCCAGAGGCTCTGTGGATCTGTTGCTTTCAGTCCTTGCTGCATCCTCATGGCTGCCGATTCCTCTTTTGGCTCCATGCCCTGGTGTTTCTGTTTTATTTTTTTTCCCATAATTTTATTGAGAAACAAATAGCAATGAGACAGTTTCAAATCAAATTGGTAGGACAGTTCCAATAGGTGCATCTGTTTTAACTTTCTGTCTTTTGCACATTTATTATAGCTGCTTCTCTCCTGGTGAATATCCTGTTCTTTTGGCTATTACAAGTTTGTGCATCCATTGCTTGCTGATCATTTCAGGGATGGAGAATCTAACATGAGGCCTTAATCTATCACCTTGAAGCCAGGTCCTTTAGTGCTTGAGAGAAATCCCTTAAATTCCATAGATGTCTATCTTAAGACTGATTTTAACAGTAAATATAATTTGTATAGACACAGTGGATCATGGAGGACAGTGAGAAGAGGACCAAAGAGAAGACGTATTTGCATCATAGCATGGAGACAGATGTGACCATGCTACATTTGCAGGAATAATGAGCCCACCAGCCTAGCAGGATGCCAGAGTTCCAGGAAATAAAGCTAGAGAAGGAATCTGGATGTGGAATTTTTAGTTCCAGAAAGGAAAATTTGGCTAAGGGACTTTGGGTAAAGCAAAAAAGTGATGAAATCAATATTTTAGAAAAATTCATTTGGTAGGACATGAAAAACACTTTGATGTGTAGACAGGCTAGAGGTAGCAGGCCAGATGAGAACTGTAACCATCCATTTGTGAAATGAAGGATGGTGGTAGCTGGATTAGGTGCTTCTCAGTTGCTGGGACAAAAAACCCTGCCATTTATGACTTCAAGGAGGAGAGGTTTATTTTGGTTTATGGTTTTTAGAAAACTCAGTCCATGGTCAGCCGGCTCCTGTGAAGAGACAGCATGGCAGAGGGGTGTGGCAGAAGAAAACCACTCAATCCATGGTGCTCAGGAAGCAGAGAAGGGAGGAGCCAGGGACAGTATGTGCTTCTGGGTCACGCCCCCAGTGACCATCTCCAGCCAGCTGCCCTGGAAGGCCCCATGTGCCTGGATTCCTGCAGCAAAGCTCCACTATGTGAAGGCTGGAAGGATGAAGGGCAAAATTGTGTGGTGCTTCTAGCAAGGCTGAGGCTGTAAGCCTGTTCAGCTGGGAGGTTTTGTCTTCTTACTGTTCATGCCACAAATGGAACTTTAGTGAATAGCTTCCATATGAGGATATCCTGGAGGTAGAATCCGTGTTCCATAATGGCAGACACTGAGTCCTTGTAGGTTGTAACATCCATATCAGATCTGGACTCCTGGACTCTTCTACTAAACACCTGTCTGCTTAAACCACTATTATATATAAGTATGATTAGGCACTGGGGATACTGGAGACTTTTTAGAGATTCTTTCTCAGCCCTTGCTGACCTGAATGAAAAATTTATCAAGACAAATTTTGAAGAGAGAGAGGGCTCAGTGCCCAAGAGCTTAGTAGCAGCTGTCTTCTGTATCCGCCATTCCTCAAGCTGAGGTCAGCTCTAGGCCATCCTATCAAAACTCTGCTGGATCTCTCACAAGAAGAGCTGAAGGTGGCACATTCTGATTGGTCTCAGGGCAGGGCTTGAAACTGTTTTTCTTGACTGGCAGTATCAGAAATTGTTGACCTGAGCCCCCTACAGCTCAACATAACATCATGGCTTTACTTCTTTTACTTTGTTTTTATACTTTTCTGCTGGATGGTTAAGATCAAGACAAAGCAAGACCTATGCAACAACACTTGTAGCTTTTGGATCTGATAAGGTCAGTGAAATCCCCTCAGGATTTATCCTGAGATCCTGTACCCCAGATTGTAGATCCTTTGTCAGTGTCAGCCATGTGGATGAGTCACGGCCATTGCTTGGCCAATGTGCTCTCTGTGAAAGCCTGAGAGAATGTTTTCTCTCCATGTGACTCTCCTTAGGCACACTCTACATCATCAATCACTTTCCTCTTTGGCCCCATAATCTCCTTGATCAAAAAATTTGGGACACTACCCAGTTATATGATGTTACAGTACAAGTTCTCATATGTCCTGAATCTTAATTGACCTTGGAAGGCTAGGGCCAAAATGTTGGCTTTCCTTGCGGCCCTCCTTTTTCTGTAATTTTGGTCTGCAAAATTAGGTTATTTAACCCTTCAGAAGAGAAGCTTATGAATATCGAACATCTTAGGCATAACATGGAACAGGTATTTTTCATCAAGTATTAATATGTTGAACTTTAAGTCCTTACAGAATATGATTAAAAAACATTTAAAAAATTAGAATATATTTTAAAATAGGCATAAAGAATTATATAATTCTCATGTTTACACATAAGTCCAGAAATCTAACCATATACAACCTTGTAGCAGGACAGTCCCCCAACATTTCTTTCCTGTCTCCTGCCTTCATTCACCACCCCCTTCTATTATGGACTACTGAACTCTTTTAGAATATTTTGCTGAGTTAACACACCTATAATATTCAAATGATGGAACTAAACAAAAAAAGCGATACAGATGAATGTCCATTTTGTATCTGTGTATTCAAAGTGGTTAGGATAGATATATAGTTACATTCTCTTAATGAATAGAGAGATTTGTTCTAATAGTATTTGTAAAGAGGATATCATGTCCGCATTTTGTACAGCAAATAACCACTAGGAAGAGAGTATGCAATGTGTTAATTATTGAGACTGTCCTACCAATTTGATTTGAAACTGTCTCATTGCTATTTGGCTCTCAATAAAATTATGGAAAAAATAAAATTACATTTTCAATTTCAAAAAAAAAAAACAAACTTTTTCTGCACAAGTCCTGAATCTCCTTAATTGACAGGTCACACCCACTTATCCAGCCTCTTTGCAGCACCCTAATCTCCTGGCTGAATATTATTTGGGCACTGCCTCTATGTGAGATGCTCAGACCCAAAGTTTGCTATTTAGCTGATGAGGATTCTAAATTTCAGAAAGTCCAGGTAGTTAACTTAAAGCCATGTAACACATACTGCTCTAAATGAGTAAAATTCTCAATTCCTTGATATGAGTCATAAATTATCTATGTTATAGCCATGCCTAATGTCTGGTTTCATGTCTTTATTAATGCTCTTCTTTTCACCTAGAATTCTCTGCCCCTTACTTTTGCTCTGGGAAACTCCTGTTCATCCTTCAGGACCCAGACCAAGGGCTACCTTTCTCTTTGTGGAGGCCAGAACAGTAGTCTCAAGATACAATATTCCATCTGAGCTTCAGTCCCTCATGGTGTGCCTTACAAAGAAGCAGCATTGCATGGTAATGGTCTGCATGCCTGGCTCTCCCCTACCATGTTGTCATTCGAAGGGACAAAATCCCTGCCAGCCCTATAAACAAACAAACAGGCAAATAAGCATTGCCTGAATGAGTTTTAAAACCAGCAGGCAATCAAGCCAAATGATGCCTTTTAGTAAATGAAGGAAACTGGCTATCAAGTTGAACAATACCCTAAGTAAGCATCAGGGGCTGACTGTACTAAGACTTATCTCTTTGCCACCTCTGCCACATGGAACATATATGAGGACGATGTCACCAGGGGCTACTTTAAACAGGCATCCTTGAAAACTTAGGTTTCCACAGAGACCCTTCATTCACTCCTAACTCTCACACCATAAGCCACTGCTTCTAAATAGCAGGGTGAAGGTGGAGGTGTATTTCTAGTTCAGCATCTGCTTTTGTTGTGGAATGTGACTGAAAAGACCATAAAGGTAGATTTGATTCTTGCTTTCATCCTTTCAAGAAATTGAATCAATTCTGACACAGCATCCTTTTTTCCAGATTTTGAAAACTTTAAATCCATTTTAAACTAGATTGTGATTGACAAACCCAGGGGAACGTTGGTGAGCAGTTAAATACTAATTAGCCAAACCCCTGCTAATCTCTCAGCTGTCAGAGGCAGAGATAGACAAAGGCTTCCATTAACCTTGGGTTATTCCCCCAAGGAGGAGAGGTCAGAGGGGAGTGTTCAGTCAGCTGTGAGATTAGGTGAACCAAATCTCAAGTAATCATCATAAAAAAAAATCCAATTGTCTTTTTATTCATTTAAAAAGACATTATGTTGACATGAAAACTTTCTTTGGTAGGTTTTCTTTCCCCAAACTTCCCATCACTTAAATGGTTCTAATTATTTTTAGGATAAAGTTCAGAGCCTTTCCTCTAACTTTATATCCCCAGTAAAGACTTTTGGTTGTGTCTGACACTTCTTCCTCCCCTGGAAGCCAAACCTGTCCTCTGGTCAGAATTCTCAAGCTGAAGCCACCTCCAACATGTTTGGCTGAGTAGATAGTATAAATTATCTACTCAGACTCAACTAAGTCTGCCTCTTGGCAATTGTATCAGTCAATATTTTACTAAAGAAATGTATATAACGCAGGATATACAAATGTATAAGAAATTACAAATCCTGCTTATGATGGTCAATCACAGAGTTGGATGAGGAACAGTGCAGAGGGCATCTGCATGCTGGAGACCGAAAGATTCAGTTCTAGGTCTGAAACTTGCTGCCCTGTCCTATGCAGGTTTGTATCAGGAGATTGTCAGGTCTGCAATGGAAGCTTGAAGAGTTATGATGGACGCTGAACAGTCTACCCCAGGAGGCTGAAAGAACTGCACTGGGAGCCGAAGTCTTCACTGGAAGCCAGGAGAGGATATCCACACTGAAGACTAGAGCTCCTCTGAGCCGATTCGTCCTTCCTCATTTCTCCTTTGTACCAGCCAAGTGATGAGCCGTCCTAGGGTGGGTCTTCTACATGCCAGGGTGTAGAATTGCTGAGCCAATTTAGTTAAGCTTCTAAACTTCTCAAGTTGACACAATCAATCAAGCATTACAGTAATCCATTGCATTAGAAGAGCAGTGGATAAAGCAACTTCCTTTATATAATCACTTCTGATCTCCACACATTCAAAAAGCAGCTATGGGAAAAGATAAATGCGCTGGGGCCAAGGGAGGCTTCAGTGTCAGGTCCAATATCATACAGATGCCAGGAAAAGAGGAGGGCTGGCACCCAGAGCCCCACCTTGTCCCTCCTTGTCCTTTGGTCAGTCTCCCCAGGTGTCTGCTTGAAGCTTAGACCAGCCCGGGGACAAATCAGAAGAACACCAACTTTTCACAAAATTAAATTCAGTTTACTGAGCTCTCTTTTATTTCAAAATTATACTTGATTTGCTGAAATGTATTTTCTTTTTCTTAAATAGTAGTGGAAGTCAGTTGATAGTTGCATTTTAACCTCTGTTTATCCTAATTTGGTAAAATCCAAAATTGCCAAAGAGTCATAAATGTCTCTATTTCATTTGAAGTGTTAGCAACTTTATAACATTCCAAAGCTTAGGGAACATTACATGCTCTGTGTTTTGGTAAAACCTTCGTTGATCATATGCTCTCAACTTAATTTTTACCTCTGCTCTTTGAAAGTAATAAATTATCATATAATTAATTTGGCAAATGAATGTAATTGTGTATCATGTTAGTAAATGAATTCTGCTTTTATCATGAGAAATTCTCCCTATAGCTCTTTGTTGGTGGAGTGGCCCATGCCTTCTCGGGGACATCCTTATCTGTACACTATGCTTCCAAGAGAACATTTAGCATTGCCCAGCTCCTATATTTTATTGGCCATCTCTTCTTCTAGCCCATGATTTCCTATGAGTATAAACCTTGTACTCTTGGCACTAGAGTACCTATTGTCCATCAAGAATGTGATGCGCATCTGAATTTGGGCTGCAGAACCACTGTTTAGTTGTATCACTGGCCTCAGTAATGAGAACACCTGACATGTGTTGAATAGGTACTGTGTGCTTCCCACTACACTTTCTATTTTATATACAGTCTTATTCAAAGTCAGTATGCACAAGCCTCATCATTATAACTTCAAATGGTAACTCCATTTACTTCCAAGGGGAAAAACCTTTCACAAACTAGATCATGCATGGTCTTGAAGATAGGCAGACTGAGGAGAATATAAGCCAACTGAATGTTGGAAATTAAAAACCATCGAGAAATCATTTTTGCCTACTTATTCTTTCTTCAACCCCACTTATCCTTTCTAGATTCTACTATTAGAATTTTACTTTCTTGGGAAGTTAATTACAAGGTTCAAGATGAGGCAAAGAGAGTGTGATAATCAGTACAAGTTGTAGTAAGGTAGATACTGAAAAGAGAAAGCCAGCTTGAAGACCAAAATTGTCAATAGACAGAGACTTCAACTCTGCTCCTGTGAATGAATTCTCCATTACAGTCCACCCCATGCCTCCTAATTATCCTTACAAATTTGAGCAAATATAGCTCAACATTTTACTTTAGTCCAAGCCCCTATTCAAGTGAAATTATGCTAAAACCCAACCTTTAATGATTCTACTATAGTTAGAGGCTTTCTCTCCACCCTTTCTTGATAAATAGGTGAATGGTAAGGATGTGTGTTTGCGTGATTCTCTAGCTTTCCTGTAAATCTCAAAAGGATGTAAAAGTTCCGAAGGTTAAAAAACATGAATTCAGAAAATGTGAACAGAAGTTCTTCAGTTAAGGTCTGTGGATCTAAATTGTTGCTACTAGGATAAACTGGGGTCACTTCATTTTGTTTTGTTTTGAATACAGATTCATAGATCCCAAATGTAGAACTCTTAACTTACAAAATATGGTATGGGAAGCCCAGAACCTACATTTTAAAAATCCTCCCAGGAGATGTACTTTAAAATCTGAGCGTCCCTAACTTTAAATTGATTCAGGTTTGTGTTTAAGAATATTTCATAAATTTATGAGCATCTTACTATTATTCACATTATTGGATTCTGATAGTTGAATAGTCATTTCCTTGAGCTTTCCTGAAATACACTCTTGTTATCAGAAAAAATATTTTTTCCTTTTTAAAAATTTCTTTGATTATTATTTCCTTCTGTTCTCTCATTACTCTGCCTATGTGCAGATCAGGGTTTGGTAAAGCCTAAAGGCTCTTCCTGTATGACCACTAGGAATCATTTCTCCAGGTCAAGATGGTATATAGGTACCTACATGATATCCTCCACGTTATCTTATGGGCAGCAAGGCCTCCATGTTTACTGCCTGACCCAGTGTGATGGGGATCCTGCCATAGGCTCTGAAGCCTGCCACCCAGATCCCTTCCAAAGAAGGCTCCATTGTGGAGCCACAGAGCATGCTCAGTGTTCTCCAGCTGGCTGATCTTCCAAGTCTGGCCTCAGTGGTAAGAAAGTAGCTCTCCAGGAGAAAGCCTTCCTGCGCAGCCTTTGATGGAAGAAGAATGGGTAGGAAGAACAATGAGTCTTTTCAACCAATGGGAGGCCCTCTGACAGTACTTACTCCAGATCTACCAAGTTAGCTAAGGCTTTGGTGGGCTGCATTATAGCTGTACTTTTTTTTCTTTTTCTTTCTTTTTTGTTCTTTGCCTGTTTTTGCACAACCTTGCTTCCCTTCATAACTATTGGTCCTTAGTAAGCAATTTGAACCCAACTGTGGCAGATTATAATGCTATGATGGTAACACAGGCACTATTACTTTGTTTCTAACTCAGAGAGAAAGAGACATAACTCTTATTCATCTTTATGTGTTTGCTGGCTGGGTATGGTGGCCCACTCTTGTAATCCCATCGCTCTGGGAGGCTGAGGCAGGAGGAGCACAAGTTCAAGCCCAGTCCAGAAAATTTAGTGACTTAGCAAGACTGTATCAAAAAAGAAACAAAACAAAACAAACAAATAAAAAACAGGCTGAAGATGTAGCTCAATGAAAATTCCTAGGCTCCATATCCAGTACCACAGTTCATCGATCAATCAATCAATCAATCAATCAATCATTTAATGTTTGATATTGACTTCAATTAGATATTTTTAATCTTTATTAGGAGCCTACTAATTCTATTAGAAATGAGTTTTCAGTTTTATCATATACATGTTAAATATTTTCCACATTTTCATTGATGTAATAGATTATAGTTAGAGATTTCGTAACAGTGAACTGCCCTTACCCTCCAGGCTAAATTTAGATAATGGTACATATATTTTATTTTTTAAATTTATTTGCATAGTACCTGCTAGTATTTTAGTCTTCACAAAAATGTAATGATACTGTACAATTTACTGTTTCTTTTTCTTAAAGTTCTCTGAACTGTAACACACCTCCATCCATCACCATGACGACAATCAGAAAGCAGAGCAGTTATAGCATCTCCCAACTTCTCCTTGTTCTGATTCTTTGGTGATCCTCCCATCCCCAACTCAGTAATCATCTTTTCAGGATGGCTTATGAAAACCTTCATTCGATAGGGAGCCTTCTGAGACTTTTTTCTTTTACTCACCACTATTACTTTGGGATTTGTCTGAGTTGCTAGGAGTATCTGTTGCTACTTTATTCCCTTTTTTGTTTGTTTGTTTTTGATACAGGGTCTTGCTACTTAGTTTGGACTCGTAGTGATTGATCCTCCTGTCTCAGCCTTCCTTGTGCTGGGATTACAGGCCTGCGGCATGGCATGTGGTACCAGGGTTCCAACTTAGGACCTTGCACTTGCCAGGCAGTCACTTATGCCACTGAGCTGTCTCCCCAGCCCTTCATTCCCTTTTATTGCTGAGAAATGTTCAGGCTCGAGGATACCCCCTTTCTTCAGCCAACCACTCGCTGAAAGTCACTTGAGCTGTTTCCTGCATACACTCACCATTAGGTGAATGGAGTGTAAATGGAGTTTTCACTTTTTGTAGGGCAAAAAAGTTCAGAAAGTGATTGCTGATCTATTTGGTAAGTGTATGTTTAGCTTCATGAAAAATTGCTGAACTATATCCCAAAGAATGACTACACTTTGGATTTCAATAGCATTGAATGAGATTTCCTTCTGTTACTTGGCATTCTTGTTAGTGCTAAGGATTATTGACATTTAAATTAAGTGTAGTTGGGCTAGCCAGATAGCTCAGCAGACTAAAGTGCCTGCTTAGGCAGAGTGCAGTGGCCAGGGTTTGATCCTGCCATGCCAGCGCCATTCCCGGGGCGCACTGAGACAGCGATGGAGACTGGGTATGATGGCTCATGCCTGTAATCCCAGCACTTGGGAGGCTGTAAATAGGAGAATCACTATGAGTCTGATCTATGTAGTGAGACCCTGTAGATTCTGTAGGCCCACTAATGAAAATACATTAAAAAAGTAAGTGTAGTCATTCCAACAGGTGTGCTGAAGTATATTCCTATGCCTTTGTTGTTTTCTACAGTGCTGGGGATAAAAGCCAGTACTTGTGTGTGCAGGCTCCGCACTCTCCTTCTGAGCTACACCTCCAGCTCTCTCATTGTGATCCTGATTTTTTAATTTGCATTGTTTTTAGCAACTAATGATGGTAAGCATTTTAATAAATGTTTTACGGGTTTGAGTGTTTTTTTTTTCCAACATCTACTTTCTTCAGATCACTTTTTTAAAAAATGAATAATTGTTTTCTTATAGATGAGTTCTGAGAAGTTTTTAAATATAGTCTAAGGATGAGTCCTTCGTCACAGACATAAGTTATAAAATACTGATTTTAATTTTATTGACAGTATTTTATGCTTCTTCCCTGTTTGTATTTTTCCCTAAATTATATTGCTGGCAACTTATCTGAGGACTTTTTGCCTAACCCATAGTCTCAGAGATTCCCTCCTATGTTCTCTTCTAAAGATTGTGTGGTTTTGCAGTCATGGCTTTAGATCTACGATGGAGTTAATATTTATATAAGGTGTGGAATAGAGTGCAATGTTCA